TTGTCAAGTGTCAATTCGTTGGGAAAACTGTTTGAAATTTAAACTGTCCAACAGGGTAATGTCACTTGACAAAGTGTAAACTATAGTGTACACCATAGTGTACGTCTCAAGGTTCTTACAGATTGATCTTTGCTATTTTTACACTGATTTCTGACACGTTGTTTGACACTTACATTGTTGTCAAGTGTTAATTGGATGGAAGAACTATTTAAAGTTTAAACTATCCAACAGGGATATGTCACGTGGTATAGTGTAAACTAAAGTGTACACAAAAGTGTACATGAAGAAAGGTTCTTACCGATTGAACTTTGTTATTTGTACACTGATTTTAGACACATTATTTGACATTGGCATTGTTGTCAAGTGTCAATTGGATTGGAAAATTATTTGAAATTTAAACTGTCCGATAGGGTAATGTCACGTGGAAAAGTGTAAACTAAAGTGTACACCATAGTGTACATGAAGCAAGGTTCTTACCGATTGAACTTTGTTATTTGTACACTGATTTTTGACACGTTGTTTGACACTTGAATAGTTGTCAAGTGTCAATTTGATGGGAAAACAAATTGAAATTCAAACTATCCAACAGCGCAATGTCACATGGTAAAGTGGAAACCAAAGTGTACACCATAGTGTACTTGAAGCATGATTCTTACCGATTGAACTTTGCTATTTGTACACTGATTTTTGATACGTTGTTTGACACTTACATTTCTTACCGATTGAAATTTACTATTTGTACACTGATTTTTGACACATTATTTTACACTTGCATTGTTGTCAAGTGTCAATTGGATGGGAAAACTGTTTGAAATTTAAACTGTCCAACAGGGTAATGTCACGTGGCAAAGTGTAAATTAAAGTGTATACCATAGTGTACATGTCTCAAGGTTCTTGGCGATTGAACTTTGCTATTTGTATACTAATTTTTGACACGTTGTTTGACACTTGCATTGTACTCGAGTGTCAATTGGATGGGAAAACTATTTGAAAATAAACTGTCCAACATGAATTTGTCATGTGGCAAAGTGTAAACTAACGTATACACCATAGTGTACATGAAGAAAGGTTCTTACCGATTAAACTTTTGCTATTTGTACACCTATTTTTGACACGTTGTTTAACACATGCATTGTTGTCAAATGTCAATTGGATGGGAAAATTGTTTGAAATTTAAACTGTCCAACATGGTAATGTCACATGGCATAGTGTAAACTAAAGTCTACACTATAGTGCACATGTTGCATGGTCCTCACCGATTGAACTTGGTTATTTGTACATTGATTTTTGACACACTGTTTGACACTTGCATTGTTGTCAAGTTTCAATTGGATAGGAAAACTGTTTGAAATTTAAACTGTCGAACCGAGTAATGTCACGTGGCAAAGTGTAAACTAAAGTGTACATTATAGTGTACATGTAGCAAGGTTCATACTGATTGAACTTTGCTATTTGTACACTGATTTTTGATACGTTGTTTGACACTTGCATTGTTGTCAAGTGTTAATTGGATGGGAAAACTGTTTGAAATTTAAACTGCTCAACAAGGTAATGTCGCATGGCAAAGTGTAAACTAAAGTGTACACCATAGTGTACAGATAGCAAGGTTCTTACCGATTGAACTTTGCTATTTGTGCACTGATTTTTGACACGTTGTTTGACATTTATATTATTGTCAAGTGTCAATTGGATGAGAAAACTATTTGAAAGAAACTGTCCAATAGGGTAATGTCACGTGGTAAATTGTAAACTAAAGTTACACCATAGTGTACATATCGCAAGGTTCTTACCGATTGAACTTTGCTATTTATACACTGATTTTTGACATGTTGTTTGACACTTGCATTGTTGTCAAGAGTCAATTGGATGGGAAAACTGTTTGAAATTTAAACTATCCAACAGGGTAATGTCACGTGGTAAAGTGTAAACTAAAGTCTACACCATAGTGTATATGTGAAAAGGTTCTTATCAATTGAAGTTTGCTATTTGTAAACTGATTTTTGAAACATTGTTTGACACTTGCATTGTGTTCAAGTGTCAATTGGATGGGAAAACTATTTGAAATTTAAATTGTCCAATAGGGAATTTGTCACGTGGTAAAGTGTAAACTAAAGTGTACACTATATTGTACATGTAGCAAGGTTCTTACTGATTGAACAATTATCCAGGTTTCCTGCCCACATGGTTAATATTGAGGTACTAAAGGTAGAAAGATTTCTTGAGGGGCTAAGACCAGAACTATATAGAGATGTGAGCATGGCAAGAATCCAAGATGTTTCATATTCTCAAATTGCGGAGAGAGCCTTAGTTGCAGAATAAGCCAAACGAAGGATTAGTCGTGCTCAAGAGGCTCGTCGACAATTTAGGCAAGGTCAAGGATAGCATTGGCCTAGAAATAATAAGAAAAAAGCTTTCCAAGGATAGAATTAGAAGACTAATTTTCAATCGAGATAAGGACAACAACATTGGGATCAGGACAAAAGTCCAAGGATAGATCAAGGAAAAGCCTCAACAGCACAACCATCTTGTCCCAAATGTGGTGGACAGCATACTGGAGCATGTCCTATAGAGACTAGAACATATTATGTTTGTGGAAAGGTGGGACATCTTTCTAGAGTATGCCCAGGTAATCCAAACCATATGGAGCAAAAGAAAGTGACAGCTAAGGTGTTTACTATTACCAAATCAGATGTTGAGACAAATCCATCAATGGTAATGGGTAAATTCTCTATTTTTGGCATCACAGCACTTGTACTATTTGATTTTGGAGCCACATATTCATTTGTGTCTACTGAGTATGTGAGGAAGTTGGGTAGGACGCTTGATATACAAGAGGGTAATTATAGTGTAACTATTCCATCTGGAGATGTACAACAAAACAATCTAATTGTAAGAGTATGTGTGATCCTTATAGAAAATCAAGAGCTCTATGCATATTTAATTGTGTTAGAAATGAAAGATTATGATATAATTTTGGGTATGGATTGGTTGTCAAAATATCAAGCTACTATAGATTGTATGAGGAAATCAGTGACCTTTCAACCTTTGGGGAATGAGCCATTTACATTCATTGGGATCGAAAAAGGTTTTAGAGTTCCAACCATATCGGTATTGAAATCACAAAGGTTACTAGATAGTGGGTGTGTAGGGTATTTGGTGAGTGTTAATGCTATTGAAGCACAACACAATTCGAATCTTAGTGATGTGCCAGTGGCACAAGAATTTCCAGAGGTATTTCCCGATGATTTACCTAGGGTACCACCAGATCGTGAGATAGAGTTTGTAATTGATTTAATTCCAGGAACATCTCCAATTTCCAAGCCTCCATATAGAATGGCCCAACTAAATTGAAAGAGTTGAAGTTACAATTACAAGAGTTGTTAGATAAAGGTTTTATTAGACCTAGCTTTTCACCATGGGGTGCAATTTTATAGAGTTAATTTCTCAACCGTTCATTTAATTTCTTACCCAATTGACACCCGATTCTCAATCGATTTCAACAATTCGCACCTCAATATTTATAATGTCATATGAGACATATATTATTGTTTTGTGATCATGCCTCACATTCCAAATGTGTCAATTACCTATCTAGGGTTTAAGATGACCTCGATCCACCAAATGGAAAGCTTGAACCTTTGTCGATACTAATTTTCGACCTTTTCGATTTCAATTACTTACCAAACTAATCTTTAACATTTAGTATCATACATCAATGGATCCAAGTAAAGTAGAGGCTATTAATAATTGGCCATGACCTACAAATCCTTTAGAGGTTAGAAGTTTTATGGCTTTAGATGAATATTATCGTAGATTTGTGGAAGGGTTTTCCAAAATAGCTTCTTCTTTAACGAAGTTAACCAGAAAGAGTACTAAGTTTGAATGGACCGATGCTTTTGAGCATAGTTTTCAGGAATTGAAGAAAAGACTAACTTCAGCCCCTATCCTTTCAATCCCATCAGGGACTGGAAATTTTGTAGTTTATAGTGATGCTTCAAAGAATGGTTTGGGATGTGTATTGATGCAAAATGGTAAAGTTATTGCATATGCCTCTAGACAACTAAAAGGGTACAAAAAGAATTACCCTACACATGACTTGGAACTCACCGCAGTTGTGTTTGCACTTAAAATATGGAGGCATTATTTGTATAGAGAGTGGTGTGAGATTTGGACTGATCACAAAAGTTTGAAATATCTATTAACAAAAAAGGAATTGAATATGAGACAAAGAAGGTGGCTAGAGTTGGTAAAGGATTGTGATTGTGTTATAAACTATCATCCCAGTAAGGCTAATGTTGTAGCTACTGCATTAAGTAGGAAGTCGACATCTAGTGTTACGAGTATGATTGTAACTCAAAAATTAGAATTGATAGATTTATAGAAAATGGTTATTGAAGTTGTGTCACAAGGATCTATAGAGGCTAAACTTGCTGTATTGACACTTTAGCCAACATTACTGAATAGAATTCAATAAGGGCAACATGAAGATGATTATTGTTCCAAGATAAAGAATGATATACATGATGGAAAAGCTTCAGATTTTCATATATTAGCGGATAATATCTTGCGGTTTAGAGGATGATTATATGTACCTGATGCAGAAAATATCCGAGGTGATATTTTATTTGAAGCTCATATGACACCATATTCTGTTCATCCAGGAGCTACTAAAATGTATAGAGATTTAAAGTTGCATTATTGGTTGTTGAACATGAAAATTGAAATAGCCGAATATGTGGGGCAATGTTTAACCTTTCAACAGATAAAAGCAGAACATCAAAGGCCAGCAGGAACATTACAACCATTACCTATCCCAGAATAGAAATGGGAAAGAATCACAATGGACTTTGTTGTGAAATTACCAAAAATGACTAAAGGATATGATAGTATTTGGGTTATTGTGGATAGGTTAACAAAATTAGCCCACTTTATTGTAGTTTGTTCCACTTATTCCATGGACCGATATGCTCAACTTTATGTACAAGGAATAGTCAGACTTCATGGAGTACCACTATCTATTGTCTCAGATAGGGATTCTAAGTTTTGATCTCTCTTCTGGAGAAGCCTACATAAGGCTTTGGGAACACAATTATCTTTTAGCACAGCTTATCATCCTCAAACTGATGGGCAATCATAAAGAACGATACAAATATTGGAAGATATCCTGAGGGCTTGTGTATTGGACTTCCGTAAATTTTTTACCTTTGGTAGAATTTGCATACAACAATAGTTATCAGGCTACAATTGGTATGGCTCCTTATGAAGCATTATATGGTAGAAAATGTAGATCTCCAGTTTATTGGGATAAGGTTGGAGAAAGGAAACTATTAGGTCCAGATATGGTATGTGAAATGGCTGAGGTCGTAACACAAATACGTCAACGGATGCAAACAGCTCCAAATCAACAGAAAAGCTATGCAGATCAAAGAAGAAGATTGTTAGAATTTACTGTGGGAGATCAAGTATTTTTGAAGATAGCACCAATGAAAGGAGTGATGCGGTTTGGTAAGAAGGGAAAACTAAGCCCGAGATATATTGGTCTATTTACTATTACTGAGAGAATTGGGAATGTTGCCTACAAACTTGACCTTCCTTCATCAATGTCTCAAGTACACAATGTGTTTCATGTATCCACGCTAAGAAAATATATTGGAAATCCTTCTCATGTATTGAGGAATGAACCAATGGAGATAAAACCAGATTTGACTTATGAAAAAAAGCCGGTAGAGATCCTTCAACGAGAGATAAAGCAACTGAGAAGTAAGAAAATTCCATTAGTTAAGGTGCTGTAGCGGAATCAGTTAACCGAAGAGGCTACTTGGGAAAGAGAAAATGAAATGCGGGTTAAATATCCTGAACTTTTTGCTACGCAAATTTCGAGGACGAAATTTTTATAAGGAGGGAAGGATGTAATACCTCGAACTTCACGTTTTACATTTGGGCAATATAATTCATGCATTCCATGCTAACTACATTGTCATTTGCATCAATTTCGTAATTGCTTTCTCTTAAAAACGTGTGTTTGATCATTGAGGCTTTAAAATCTTTATATAGTGATGATCTTTGACTCCTTGACCTAAGTAGTGAATTTCACATTGAGCTATGATAGAAAATTAGGTTAACTAAATGTTGAAGATTAACTTGGTAAGTAATGGAAATCGAAAAGGTCGGAAATTAGTATTGACAAAGGTTCAAGCTTTCAATTCGATGGATCGAGGTCATCTTAAACCCTAGATAGCTAATTGAAATATTTGCAAAGTGAGGCATAAAGTGGCATGGTCACAATGCAATAATATATGTCTCATATGACATTATAAATATTGAGGTACGAATTGTTGAAATCGGTTGAGAATCGGGTGTCAATCGAGTAAGAAATTAAATGAATGGTTGAGTAATTAACTCTATAAAATACTTTGGGATCTTAGGACAAGTGAAAGGGATTGTAACCATGTCAAAATAAGACAAGGATACTTGATTTGTACCTGCAATGATAGATATAAAATCAGATTTTGGCTACAAGTGACCACTTCTTGCTTGCACACCTCGTACATGGGATTTTGTCATTTTAACACTTAATTTCTTCAACCTTAAGGCATCAATCTCATGTATACTCCCTACGAACTGAATATAGGACGTATATATATATTTTATATCATAAATGGATCCACAGATAATAGTAAGAAAGTCAAATGTTGCTGCAACGGAGACACCTCCTACTTACCTTGTGAAAACTTGTCAATCTAACATTTAATTCCTTCAGCCTTAAGACTTCCAGCACGTCTCCTAAATCATTACCACTTTATAGTGGACAGATATACATCTTATAAGACACATATGCCCCCATATAAGGTAAGGGAAAGGTCAAAGTTTGCTGCATGAATCCACCTCCTGCTTGGACAGCTCATGCTTTGATGATACTTGTCTTTTAATTACACTTTCCTTCATCCTTAAGCATCATTCACGACTCCAAACCTTGAGGCTACTTATACATCTCTTGGATAAGACATTTAAACCTCCAAATATATCCCCAAGTGAAAGGGAGAGCAAAGGAAGCAAGAGAGATAGAAAAGTAAGAAGCCGGGATTGCAGTTTGGAAAGGTTAGTTTAAGTCATGGTTTTGAAGTTTTTCTTTAGTCCTTTTGGGTATTTTATAATATTTTAAAACTCTAAACTTACTTGAGGTTAAATATAATGGTTGTTGATGATTTTATGATGGCAAAAAGAGGGGTAATCAAGTACAAGAACCTGAAAGAAACCAACAGGAATAGAGATGTGTTGATTGATGAATTTGGATGGCTTAAACTTTGATTTTGGATAATACTTAAGATATAACTTGTATCTATGTAAATGAATGTTTTTAAATTATAGTTATGAGGATATAAATGGCCTTCTAATAGCCTGAAATCCGATTGGTGACATGCTAATAAAATAGAAACCGAAAACTGTCACAATAGAAACTGTCTGATTTTAGTGTTGTTGAAATGGACTATTTTGAGGCTGAGAACACTTTACTTGTCACGAATTTATGAATAAATTATGTTTGAAAGTAGATATGCGTCATAGGAATAAATTTACAAATCACCGTATAAAAAAAAGTTAGCGACTTAAAGTTTTGATGTCTCTTCAGAAATTTTAGTTTCTGCCTCATCTTTAAAAAAATCATAACTCTTTCGTTACTAAGTATTTTTATAGGAAACCAATTGGATTGCATAGCCTAATAAGTTATATGCTGAATAAAATTGGAATCATGTCAATCCAATATCGGTAAAAGATTATATGTTACATAAAGTAAGCTGTGCTGAGTGCTGTCTCTGTTTTTCAGCTTCTACCCTTATTTTCAAAAATTCACAAGTCACTCGTTATCTTGGAATTTTTTGATGAAACCAATTGAATTTCATAGTCTCCTAGATTAGATACTGAATAAATTTTAATTCATGTGGTTTTGACATCAGTGGAATTTTATATTCCATTTTAAGTGAACTGCACTGGTTACCTTTCAACTGGGTCGCTTCTGAGTTTTGAAAAATATTTTAATACCCCATATGATGTCGATGGAAATTAATTTTTGACTATGTCTTATTATAAGGAGTTTACTGCCTTACATTAAAATTTTATGAAGTTTCAAGGTCGATAGCTATGAAAAAAAATTTATTTTGACAATTACTGTTTGAGACAAAAACTGGAACAACTACATTACTTTTTAAGTTTTGCCAAAATTTCACGTCAATAGTCGTTACATGCATGGAACCCATTCTAAAAACATTTTTGAAATTGTTTTCGTTTAGAATTGGATTATTTTTTAAGTAAAAAAATAAAATTCTTTAATTAAATTCTAAAATTTAATCTTTATACCTTCTACTAAAAATATATTGAACTAACTTTACGGTTAAGGTACAATGGTTTGAGTGATGTTTCCGTCCATGCGGGTCGGGGTGTTATAGCATTATATCAAAGCACGAGTTTAGTTGATTATGTAGACTTAGTGTATTTTATTTATGAGATGAAAAAAATGAAACATTTAAGGCACTCCGTGGCATCTTGCGTCTATCAGTTGACCTCATCCGACGAACCCAATGTATGGAATAAAATATTATGTTCCACATTATTTTTTCGAGCATGATTTTGATTTTTTTTAATTATTTAAGCTTGAATCTATGAAAATGCTCATGATATTTTGAATGAAATATGCTATGTACATTATATTTTGTTTAAATATACATGAAGAAATGATGATTGGCCATCATATTAGAACCTCAAGAGCATAATGTATAAGTTGATATCACTAATGAAGATAACACATAATTGGACACTTATGTGACAAACATGGCTAGAACTTATCAGACCACTAGAAAGGCCACAATTTATATAGCAGTGTTGAACCGTAGGGCCATCATCTAGTCCTATGAGAACTATGTGACTGACCTGTCTCGTCCACTTGTTGAACACGTACATGACATCTACGAGAGATGTATGGCAACTGTAGATGCGGGACTGGAGATCATGCATATCGAGGCTATGAATAACCTTATACATTCACTTCCACCTCAGTGCGGAAACATGGGAGTCATTGTTAGGGATGAGATGCTAGAGGGTAACCATCCAGAGCACCCAAATACGATTGAATTTGGTACATATTATCAGACCTTTCTACACAAATGGAGTAAGAGTTTAGAACCCCAATCGAAGATAGTAATTGAGCCCAATAATGAGGTTGAGCCTGAGCTCTAGCCCGAACCTCGGTTTGAATTAGACCCAGAGGAAGATCCCGAATAGGAGCATGAGGATGACTTTGGGTTGGACTTAGAGAATGATCTTGAGCATGAACCTGAGCCACAGGTTGAGATAGACCTAGAGTCAGGGCTGAGATAGAAGACTCTTCCGAAGATAAGGCTCCACCGAAGAAGATTCGAAAGATTCATAGGGATTAGAAATTCAGATTTCCATTTCCTTGTGATATCTTTTCCTTATGTTTTTGAAAAAAAAAATTGTCGACCTATTGTATGTCCTGATTGCAATGAGTACTATTAATAAAGGAAAATTATGATCAATTTGAGGACTACCTTATTTTTTTAAGTATTCTGGTATTGGCAAATGATGTTAATGTGATATATTATATCTTATCTCTAGGAAAATGTCTCAAACAAACCAGAACAACTTGATAAGGGATCTCCTGCAAGCGGTTCAAGATCTTGGCAGGCTGAATCAAAATCTCGCTCCACCTACACCACCAGCTCCTATTACTCTTCCGACTCATGCCTTGGTAGTTGAGTTATTTTGAAAGCATAAGCCCCCTACCTTCGATGGAGCATCTGGTCCACTAGTAGTTGAGGAATGGCTTCGTAAGCTAGAACGGATTTTTCGACTCATAGACTGCACTGATGCCCAAAGGGTTCAATGTGCGGAGTTTATGTTTATCGGTGATGCAAGTCACTGGTGGGATTCGATGTCCCGAACTAGGACTCCAGAGCAGCACTTGGCAATAACTTGGGAACAATTCAAGGAGGAAGTGATGGACAAATATTTTCCTCAATCTCTAAAGGATTTCAAGGAGAACGAATTCCTTCAACTCAAGCAGGGTAATATGTCCCTAACAGATTATGAGCGGAAGTTTGATCAACTCTCAAGGTATGTTCCACATCTGGTTGACACAAAAATTAAGAAAACTCGAAGGTTCGAGCAAGGGTTAACCCAGACCTAAGTATGATCCTTATGTCACATCGCTTCACGTCATACCATGAGATGCTAAAATGAGCTCACGCTATCTATTATCAAAAGGCTAATGCAGAGCAACATCATCAATTGTACAACCAGCAGGATAAAGGGAAAATTGGAAAGAGAAAGTGGAATGGTCGAGACAAAGGAAAGGGCAAATGGCAAAATAAGAAAGTTAATATCGGATCTAGCACCAGTAAGGCCATGGTAGCTGCAGTAGCACCATGCCCTAAGTGAGGTAAGCCTCATCGTGGTGAATGCTTGTATGGGAAGAATGCCTATTTTCGGTGTGGCAAATCAGGACATATTGCTAGGGATTGTCCTACATTTGCTCAAAGGAAGGATGATAACAATGATCAGAACAAGAAGGGGAAAGCACGAGTTTTTACATTGACTCAAAAAGATGCAGAGGGGAACTCAAACGTAATAACCAGTATTTTACTAGTAGCTAATACACCTGCTTATATACTGTTTGATTCAGGAGCTACTCACTCTTTTGTATCAATGTCTTTCATTGCCAAATCTAGTATTACTTGTAATGAGTCAAAGAGTACACTAGAAGTTAGCCTCCCCTCAGGCA